GTTGTCAAATCGCGGGATTATTATTGGCTGACCCCTGCATGGCAAACAACGATCCTAGACCCGTTCTTTTCGTTTCCACGGTCGGATCAAGCGTGTCGAAGGACGGATTAAAGTTTATCGAAGCAGATAACAATGTAGAAACCGCTATCTGGCCCTCCTGAACCGTACGAATGTTCGACGATCGGTAAACAGTTTGTTCGAGGCTGCTGTCTAAAGCTTGATAGAGAAATACGGCTGCTTGGACCCGAGGCTTGTGCACGGCATTATCAATAACTTCTGTTCTATGGCAGATAAAAATAATCTGCGGGACGAATTAAGCGGGGAAGTAATTTACGATGGGACCCTGAGTATGGGGTGGTTTTGTTGGATGAGGGTTGTTTAGAGTAGGTCCTTTGTTGGCTCGGAGAACGTAGATTGGATTATTGATAATTTGAGTAGTGTCTGCTTAACTTTTCTAATATCGATTTCTTCCTTATTTTTGTGAGTAGTCCACGAATGCTTATGCGAATGCCAGTTTTTAAAAATAGGGTTGAAAACAGACGTTGGGAAATAGTTTATCGTAAAAGGTATGATAAAAATAGTATACTTTGAATATATTCAGTATTTATTTGTAATCTGTTCATTTTGTTTAATCTTTCACAAAACCCATTAAAATCTCTATTTATAATTTTTCTTCTTATAATTCAATCTCTAGAATCAGAGAATTGTTTTAAGCATTTAAATTGATTTGAACAATTTTGTTTCTCATGAAATATATTATTTTTCATTCCGCTGGTTCTCTTTTCCTTTCTTTAGACATTTCATTTCGTATTTGGAATAATTACTAATTGGCACCTCATGCATTAGGTTTACTAAAATAAAGTGTTTCTTATAGTAAGACAAGTTAAAGTTTGCTCTCGGAGATATTTAATAAGTATAAATACGATAATTTCCTATACAGTTGTTGAAGTAAAGATTAAAATAACGGTAAATCTAATTACTGACAGGGCACATCTGCAGGACAGGCATCACCTAACTGCGGAAAAACACACCCATAAATCGCCACCCTTAGAAAGCACGGTCAGGGTAGGCGAGTTCTTCGAAATGGCCACCTTGGATTTCCGGAAAACGCATTGTCCTTTCGGGTAATACGATCGGTTTCCCCTCGGAAAGTTTTGAGGAGTATATAGAAATATAATTTGAGGCTCGTAAAATGGTCAAGGATATTCCATACCTCAAAGTCTAAATTACTTTCACTATATCCCCTTATAAATTACTTTTCTTCTTTTCATCTCGTATAAAAGTTTAGTTTCTTGATTTCTTTACTTTTACTTCAATTTTATTACACATTATTTTACACAAAGTAAAATTTTGGAATTGTATATAATTTATACAATTTTCTGCTGAATATTTGTTTATTTTTGAATATTTTCTACGAACTAATAAATCAATATTCTATTGAAATATTACGTTGAAAAACACTTTTAAAAGTAGTTAGCATATCTTACTCGATGAACTTCGCACTGGTCAGAATAATTAAAGAATAAAGTTGCAAGTGAACGAGCTTTAAAGTGTATAATACACTGATTTAATTATTATGCTCTTTCAATTATTCCGTTCCTGTTAATTCTCATTAAAAGTGTTTTTTAAATCGCACAGAAATAACCTTCAACTGTTTCCAGCGATATATTTCATTAAACGGATAGCTTTATCGTGTGGATCAGCAAGATTGTTCATTTCATATACGGTTCCTATTGAATAGAAATACTAAAATCAACTTTTCCGCCGCGCGATGCAATTCAATGAACCTCTATCTCATTAAGTTGAAGCGGAGAACCGCGATTATAACGCAGTCCATCCCCCGTCGAATAGAATTATAATTTTCGAGTGGAATTGACGTTCCGCTGTATTCGCGGAGTGTATAAATTGCTCGGAATATTGAATAATAAACACTTTATTATTATACTTAACGAGGGAGCGCACGATCAGAGACAGTCGACCAAAATAAAGTAACTTCGAAGTCCTTTATCGATCGACTAGTTCACTCGTCCATCGAAATAAATGGCCTTTTCATCGTTTGATTTTAAGTAGACATCAAATCAAGACTACCTAAAATTACATTTCACCCGTCTCAGCCCCAGACGCTTGAGCTACGAATATAAATCAATCAATGTTACGTCGCATCGCTTTAACATCGTTCGAATCAAATTATCGAGAATCCAATGTCTAAAATTACATTCGCCACAATTATCTGTCTTCGTGAATTATTTTCTAATTAGATTCCCCCGAACGAACTTTATCTTATCTTTCAGTTAGCGTACAGTACAATTTTCAAATTTTATCAACGATAGCGCAGTCTTAATTTCAACCGCAATTACTTTATCTAAATTATTTCTACAATATATAAAATACTTTCTCGTCTTTCATATTTTCAAATCAATTCTAATTCCGTACAATTTTAATTGAAATTATTTTACCGTTTTCATAATGTTTATCATATTTTTCTAGAATTATAACGATCATTAAAGTAACGAGGACAATTTCTGCAATATTTCGCCGCCATTTTCTCTCGCGTCGACTTCCTCGTTAAGCCGCGAGCGCGAATGTAGACACGCACCCTCGAGGACCGACGTTTAATCGATGATAGGGCGCGGACTATTATTTCGTTAAGTCGCTGGTACTAATTGGTCGTGGTGCGCGCGTCATGAAGCAATTACGAGGGGTGTCGGGAAAGGGTAGAAACGTTGGTCACGCTCAATAAGTCTCCGTGCACAACGGCACCGACCCGGCCTGGTCGTTTCCGTATGGCTGCGCGTACCGGTCGAAAGCAACCGGTGGGATTTCTGCGAACCCGCCGTGGAAAATTTCGGTCAACCCCCGCTCCGGAAATTGGCCGGCAGCCGTGCACGCGGCGGTTCGAACCCGCCCGCTTCGGGGACTTTGGCGTTTAGTATCCGGACCTCGTTGAGATCAAGATTGCACGAGTTTATTCGCAGCTAATTTGGGGGTGAAAATATTTGGATAGGGGTAGATATTTGTTATGCTAGAAGTGTGGTTATTGTGGTTATTTGATTGATATTGACCTTTATTACTTTACCGTTATTACTTTCGTAATGTTAATTATTTTATTAATATTCATTTTTATAGATGTGTAATTGAATATTTAGAAGGATTGTTATTATGAAAATAACGTTTCCTCAAGATTTCAGCTTTAGTTATTTGATTATTATTGGAGAAATGGAAAATAGTTTTTCGAGAATTTTATTTAGATTCATTTATTTCAGTTGAATATAGATTTGCTTAGAATTTGATTTGATAAATAAATTTCCTTTGAGGTAGAGGGAATTTGAATGAAATCTGTTGTTCCAACGAAAATTGTTGTGAACGGGAATTCCTTTCCGCGTCGGATACTCGTTATACTCTTCCTCAACATCGACAGTATCGATTGTATCTTCTCCTCGTGAATGCTTCGAAAACAAAAACCGAGGTCCCCGACCTGTGCCCCGGGGTGATCGATTAGCCAAAGCCGCGATGTTAACTTTTACTGAGAGAGGAAATCCGGTCCGACATACACCGCCTACGTTTTCCTTCCCTATTCCCTGCACTTGCTCTGAGAAACGAATTTGTTACTGTCTGCTGCTTCATATCAGTCTTTCGGCTGAAGTACTTACAGTTAAAAATGTTCTTCAACGATTGAAGAAAATTCACCCCTTCTTTATATTCAGTAGCTACATATAATTAAAAGTCCTTGTTCGGAACCTTGCCACGTATCGTTCGAAATTATTTTATTTTTGAAATACAGTTATCTAAAATCGATGACCATATTTTCGAAAATTATACATTTTAAAAGAAAATTTCAAAAGTTCATAGCTTACTTCATCATGTCGAATAAGCCTCGTGATACATATGTATACGAGATCAACTTTAATTGACATTAACTTGCACATTATTGAAATTTTACACTAAAGGTATATTTACAATGAACATGCAATTTATTCTTTTTTAGAGAATTCTATGAAAAGAAAAGAAGCCACGAGACAAAGTTAAATATACCTTTCATCGAATTAACCCAAAAAGTACATAAGGGTTGAACCACACCCCCCAAACTGAATACAATACTTATTGTCCACTGCCCACCAATTCAGAGAAACGATAAAGATCATTTAAACACCGCGTGGCGCTCGTTAATTAGTACTTCGTACGCGCGGTGCCGAAGATGATCCATCAGAGTCTTTCATTTCAGTCAGAAACCCGAAGTTACCTGGCGACATAACAGTATCCGCATTCCAATCGACGGGAGCCCCGGCTACGCAGGTATATCGGTTACCTCCCCGATTTTAGCTAAAACAAAAGGAAAGTAAGAAGGGAAAGAAACTCTCCCCGGTACCGTACAAATTGTTAGAATCAACCCCCTGGGCCGAGCCTTTCGTTCTAAAGCCCCCTAACACTCTTTGAAACATCTTGTGATGCGTAGTCTCAGGTTTCATGATACATGATGTAGTGTATAGGGGTTGGACAAAATAATAAAAGCATTCTGTATGTTCAACAATGTTTCTATCAGTATCACGTGTGATCATTTATTTTCGTCTAGTATAACTGAGCTTAGTTGAAAATGGAATCGTATAAATCTTGAATAATGTTTAGTATATTATACCATTCTTCATGCAAAACTAGTAATCCTAGTACTAGCAATCTCAGCACTAGCTATTTCAGTATTAGTTATCTCAATACTGTAATCTCAGCATTAGTAATTTTAGCACCAGTAATCTCAAATAAAATCAAAATTTCATCCTGCAAATCTATAATTCTGCGTCATTAGCAATTAGGATCACACTACAAACTAAGAAGTATCAATACTATTCTGATAAATTAACGCTACTGCAGGTTTCATGAAACTTAAGAAATCGATGCCTGCATCGCAATATGTTCCAACGTGTGCATGGAGCTTAACGGCTAGATCCCAATGAGACGCGTAGAGGACAACGATTCTAATCTGGTCCCCGTTGATCGGTTTGTGGCAGGTATGCGAGGAGCAAAAGTGCCAGGAGGAGGTCTTTCCCCTCTCGATGAACTACGTCGACAGGTTCCTCTCGATCTGCCCGATCAGGAAGTCGCAGCTGCAGCTGCTGGGAACCGCCTGCCTACTCCTCGCCTCGAAGCTGCGGGAACCGTCGCCGCTCGCCGCCGAGGTCCTCGTCTTCCACACGGACAACTCCATCACCCTGGATGACTTATGGGTAAGTGCACGCTCGTGACCACATTTTGCTCTTGTTCCGTTCGCGTTATTCGCGATTATAATACGGGGGAGGCCGAGCGATTTAATGGCCACTCCGACGATGACTCTTGTCTTTACCGGATGACGGGTTGCAGACTTTTGCGCATTCGTGACTGATGAAAAGCTTAATCGACGGCATACAAGATTCTGCGTGACACGTTCAATTTGATGTTGTTTTCAATGTATTTTGGAGTTGCTATCCTCCCTCACTTAGGATATCGAGTTGGAGAACATAAAGAATGTAAGGGTTGTTTATTTATTTACAGTTGAAAAACCGTATTTTTTATTATCATTCTTGAATGTTTACAGCAGACAAATATTGTATTAGGCATAAATAGAATTTCTTTATTTTTTAATGAATCATTAACAATTGACGTAAATTTTGATCAGTGTAAGAAATAGTAAGACAAGGGGTTGATACACGTAGGAAGTAACTTTTCGTTTAATCCTTTTTAAAGCGAATATTTTTTTTGTTCTTACTTTCATTATGTTATTAATTTCCGAACGTTTGAAACTGGGGTAACAATGGTTCCAATACTTGACCACGATTCCGTGCACGAGCAATTTATCGGTCGTTTTATCGTGATATCAAGTCAAGTGTCAGCTGGGTCACATAGTCGGTTGTTCCGTGAATTTACTTTTCCTGTTAAAATGTATCGCGGCTCGTATCGATCCAGTATGGTAATGCCATGAAAGTTTTATAGGAAAAGTTTACGGTACACTACTCCCGTGGCCTTTTGGCGGAATCAGCCGAAAACAGACCTGGTGCTTTCATTTTTTCGTTGGCCCCGCAACGTGACTATTAAATGGCCAAAACCGGGATCAACGATAACGAGTACCGTGGGTAATCTTATCGACTGTCACGCGGACCAACGTAACCATTTGTTTTTAAAACGCCAAGCGAAAGTTTTACGTTATTCTCGTTTGGTGAAACGCACGATTTCGTCGAAGTGAAATTCCTTTTGATCCTTTAACCACTGCCAAATGTGTATTTTTCACTCTTAAGTATTATTCTATTATTTGTTATTTTATTTTATTATTGTATTATTTTATTATTTTATTTTATTATCGTATTACTTTATTATTTTATTTTATTATTGTATTATTTTATTTTATTGTTTTATGTACAGAAAACGTATTATTTAATCACTTAATTGTTGACAGTGATATTTTATATACCATCACTTTAAACATTCAACGTACTAAATATTCATTATGAAAAAATTCATTCGATAGCATTTATCTCATTGCAATAGTTCGACCAATTTGTCAGATAACTTGTTTATTCTTAGAAACAATTATCAGCGTATTGTTCATTAATCTAATCTAAAAGTTACTCAAATGTTCGCGAAAAATCAAGGACGCCGAAGATCCTTGTCGTTAGATAAATCCAGTACTTCTCGAGAAGAGTCTGCCGGCTCAATCGAGCGATCGGCGATCGATCAGCGTTCCCAAAGTTCACGAAAAAATTCCGAATTCATATACGTGGCATTTAAATTTCGCCTGTGTTTTTCTTTTCCCGCGTTGACCTCGATCGCCACGATAAAATCGGAATGAACGATGAGCGTGAGTAAGAGTCGGTGAAAGAGAAATGGTAAATTCGATGGTCCACAATTTGGTCAATTCGGTGAGTCACCGTTTCACCGAGCAACTGTCCGTATCTTTCGCTGAAAATAGTTTCTTTTCAGAGTGTGTTACACTCCTGAGGCGCCACCAGGGTCGTCAGAGGTATCAGAAGCTTGTTACAGGCCTGATTTATCGAGAGACAGTTGTTCTACGAATTTATGCGACGTTGATGCACGCACTTTTCCTCGTGATGCATCGATGACTCTTCGGTTTCTATTAACACGTTCACTGCCACGAGAATTTTGAGCGTTTCGTGTAATATTACTTATTCTTTCGTAAAGAAGGCAAATGATATTGTAATTATACTATTAAATAATTGCCTGTGTTATTGAATATTTTGATTCGACATCAGTTTCCTTCTTGTAATTGTCTTCCAGCATTCTGGAAGATCTGGCCATCGGTGATCACCGTGGCAGTCAAAGTGTTAACATTGCGACTGTCTTGATATCTACTTATTTTTGACATATCTTTGTATTATTATTATTTTATTAGTCAAACATCGAAATGAATGGATCCCAAACATCCGTCTTCTGTTTTCACGATGATATATCTTATGTATTTACTGAGGCGTGCTACCGCCGTATTTCAAATTGACATATTAGTCACTGAAAATTGTCTAAGATGTCGTGGTTCAGAGATTTTCGTGATTCTAGAATAGAATTATTTATGTTGGGACGCATAGACACAACCAGTTATATACCGTTGGACAATTTTTTAGATTTTTTTTTCGTTGGAACACGTGGACGAAACGAGTTGTTTGTTGGAAACCTTTGAGCTTCACTGGTTATTATAAGGCTAGGGGTTAATGTATATTCTTTTGGTATGCGATAAGAAAATATTTCCACGAATATAATTTCCTTGTTCTTCTCCATACGAATTTCAGTTTATAAACGTTACAGAAATGATCTTCGTTCGAACGAAAGTTAAATATTAAATTCTTACTTCATAATTACTGAAACCATACAATTACTTTAAAATTATCAAATAATTGCGTTTAATATTATTAGATATACTCTAATAAAATTCTCTTTCGTTTTTAGCCTGTCAGTTCTAATGTTCCGCGTTTGTAGCGTTAATAATAACCGTATTGGATAATTTCTCCCTAGAAATCTTTTCTCGTGGAACCTTAAAACTTCTCACCAAGCGTCCCACCTAAAACAGTCGCGACGGGTAGAATAACGACTGCGTTCTGTTCGTAACGGCCGCGTAATTCCTACGTCGAAACGGCAACCGGTGTCGAGTAACAAATCGCGCGCGGCCGTAGAGGCAAGATCGCGAATAAATAATTCGCCGAGCTTCTGCGGGCTGTCAGGAAATCGCCCGGACTTTTTTAACGTTACTACAATCCTCGATTTATCCGCAATTTGAAGTATTATTCAAAATGTAGGAGTACATAAGTTAATAATGATTTTCTTATACTATTCCCAAATTGTTAATCTTAAAATGTTAATTATTTTCGAATTGTTAATCTCAAAATAATATTCCAAAATTGCTAATCTCGAAATAATATTCTCAAATTGTTAATCTCAAAATACTATTCTAAAATGAAGATTTCAAATTGCTGATCTCAAAATTAATATACTCAGACTTGTGCAAACAAAATGGTGTTAAAAAAAATGAAAACGCGATTGAGTCCCAAAAGACCCGAAGATTGTAGCGGGGTTAAATACCTTCGCGCGAGGAAAGCCACGAATTCTACGGTTTTCGAGAACACGAAAGCGTAACTGGTCCCCTCACCCGCCTCCCAGCCCAACCCCGGGCAAACAAGAGATAGCCTAAGCAAGCTCGAATAGATAACGACTGATACGGGGAGCGTTATTTAATTTCCAAGCCATTCTCGGCTCGCTCGATCCCGACTCCGACGCTCCTCGGGTTCCCTTTCACGCTAATAAGGGTGGCTTCACACGGAGAATCCTCTGAAATCGGAGACCGAGGTGGTTGACCATTTCGTTTGGTTTATTATTGGATAGTTCTGAAAGGCCTCTTGTATTTCTGAGGAAGTTCGAAGGCATTTTGTTTCGTAAAAATGAATTTAATGCAATTTCTGCCATTGTCCATTTTACACGATAAGTTTTTCAGTGTTCTTTGTCTATTTATTTAGAATGTCTATTTTTATATTGTAATGCAAGTAGGGAGGAAAACAAAATATTCTGTTCAGTCTAATATATAATTAAATTCATATTTGAACAGTATGTTATATTTATAATCAGTATTTGTTTGTAGAGTTACGTGGTTATTTAAGGGATATAATTTGCATAATAAGGTGGAGCTTAGATACACAAAATAAGTATAATGTAATGTTTTGCAGTGCGCATTTTAATTTTAACAAAATTAATTTCGAAAATGTTTGAAATTGGAGCAGATTCCATGAATGACTTTGTCCCACAGTCGATCTCGGACGCGTCCAAGGATTTTTGTTGGAGACTCTCGCAGTTAGTAGAAGTTTCTGTGACACAACGGATTGAGAAACATGCGGTTGGAAAGAGAGAATGGTGCGATAAATATGCCTTGGATAGAGAGTAGTAAGCGAGGAAGATAAGGGTAGGCTAGAAATAGACGAAATAGGAGCAAGTGGTGAAGATAATGTTCGATATTTTCGTGAGGACATTTTGGACGCTTTCCATCGAATTTTGTATAGGTTGTTAGAATAAAGTTGTACCTAGATATTACAAAAATTAATGAATTCATCTGTTAAGGCCACTTACAGCCTTAACGTTTCCTCCGACCCCTTAGAACCATCGTACTTTTTAGTTTGTATACACCTTTTATGTTTTCTACGGCTTATTGTACATTTGGTAGTTTTTTCGAAATAATAGGAGCCTTCGTCCCGTTCACAACTTGCAATCGTCGGTATTACGGTATTACGAGAAGGGACCGTGGCAGCCATAAATCCCTGAACCCATAAGGCCCGCGATTATTGCTGTAGATTTTCTTTGCCTGTTGTTTACATCTGGTGTCCAGTCACCAGTATTTTTAACTCTCTTGCCCGTCCGTTAGCATGTGTTTCTAAGGCCAAGCGTTTCTTGCTTTTTACCTGCCACGGTCGGCGATTGCAAACGGGACGAATTAGTTATTAACTTTAGCAACTAGGAAGACTAGAAGGGAAGGGACTGTGTCTCCCTTCCACAACCATTTTCAGATCGAAAAGGGCCAACCAGAACGTCTTCACCCCCGTGAAGACGACATTGCGGAGGTGTCGTCGAAGACGATTCTGGGAGGCCCAGGGAGTCGAGAATAGCAGTCGAGAATAGTCAGTCGAGAATAGGAGTCGAGAATAGCGAGTCGAGAATAGCGAGTCGAGAATAGCGAGTCGAGAATAGCGAGTCGAGAATAGCG